CGAAGAAAAAGCCAGAGTGGGCCGGGGCAGGACCCCGCAGGGGCTTCCCGGGACGACCCACCCCCGTGTCCCCCACCTCTTGTCTGATGAAAAGCTTTAGCCTCCTAGGCCTTCCCCGAGGTCCAAAGAGCAGATTTAATCAGAGAAGTGAGAAAATGCAAAACCAAAGGGAAACAGTCAAACAGAACAAAATAAGAATAGTTTAGCCAGAGAACAAAGCCAAAAGACCTTTAGTTCCTCAAGGGCTATAGATAACATCCTGAGCCATATCCTTGAGCCGTTTTGCAGATACTGAAACCCCCACCAGGTGGAAGAAGTTAGCTGCCTGCTGACCACCAGCACGCAGACCCCAGACAGGTTGGAACCAGAAGGCTGATGACTGGGATTCTTGAACCACCACCCTGTTACCACACCTCCAGCCAATCAGAGAATTGTGCACAAGCTTATCACACACCCCTTGACCTTTTCCCTCACCCTGTCTTTAAAACCCTTCCCTGAAAGCCCTGTGTCTTTAGAGCAAGAGCTGCCAGTTCTTTGCTTGGGGTTCTACAATAAATGCTGCACTTTCCTTCACCCTGTGTCAGTGGCTTGGCCATGCTGTGCGCAGGTGAGTGGACCCGAGCTGGGTAAGAAGATAAGAGGACAGCCTCCTCAGGCAGTAACGGAGGATGTGGAGTGCAGACATGGCAGGGCTGGGCCAGCAGTGGGCAGTCATGGGCGATGCTGATGTGGAGTCCTGGTCCATTTGGGGGAGGGGAGGGGAGGGGAGGGTACAGTCTTGAGGGAACAAACAGTGGGCATGTTCCAGGGCAAGACTGCAATCAGGAGTCCACGAACCTCGGGTCCACCTAGGCTGCCCCCAGCAATGCGTCAGGGTTTGTTTCCTAGGCAGCAAGGAGGGTGGGCAGTGTCTGCTCTGGGGACACACCCACAGCTGGCCCCCAGGAAGCGTGTGCTGAAGGGAGAAGACAGAGGAAGGGGAACAAGGCACCCGAGCCCTGCGGGAGGGACCTGAAAAGAGGCAGCAATGGAGAGGGGGCAGGAGAGGCCTGGTCAGGGCCTCAGGGGCAGGTGGCATCGAGGACCTGGGGGACAAGCTGGAAGGAAGTGGACCAGGCAGGATTTGTGCAAAAGCTTCCACCGGGACCCTGGTGTGACCCACCAGCCCGGACTCAGCCCTGAAGGGAGGATACGTGCACTGTCCCCAGCAAATGCACTGGGGGCTGAGGCTGGTCTGGGCCTCTTCCAAGCCGCACCCCCGGGGGAGACGCCTGCCTGGACGGCCTCAGACCTGCCCAGGCAATGAGACAGCGGGTTGGCGTCTGGGTCCCCTCGGCTTTGACAAATACCTGAATACTGATAAAGGATTTATGTGCCTGAGTGAATGAGTAATAGATCTCAAATTACACTTCTGTGGTCCAATAAAAGGGAATGAAAACATGTGTTTCCCAATTTACAGGAGAGGTTCTAAGGCCGTGATTCTCAAAAGTGTGGTCTCGTGAGCAGCAGCAGCTGGGAATTTGCTAAAATCCACATTCTCAGGCTCCACCCTAGACCTACCAACTCAGAAACTGTGGGCAGGGGGGAGGGGTGGAGGCCCAGCAATCCATCTTAACATGTTCTGCAGGGGATCCTGATGCACACGCAAGTGTTAAGAACCGCTGCTTTGAGCTAATGGAATGTTTTTAATGGCTGCCTGGACTTGATTCCCCTGGAGAATTCCTTTGCCTCCAGAGCCTCAGTCTCCTCATTTACAACGAGGGAAAAGTACACACTTAGAAGACTGTCACACGGGTTACCTGAGAGAGGCCGGCACACGGCAAGTACACAAGTGCTGGTTATTCTCGTGAAAGGAGAACTCGGGAGGGGCTGATCACCTCTTGGCATCAGCTCAGTAGGGAGCTGGGTTTTCCAAGCTTGGGGTTTTTATATCACCTGCGTGTAATAACTCTACATTGGTCCCCTTGTTTCTAGCTTCTAAGGCTCCACATTTCCCGGAGCTCTACAGAGAGCCCCACGGGGCTGTGGCTGCTCCTAGGCCCACCCGAATCAGAGAGCAGCCTGAAGGGCCCGGGGTCAAGGTGCCCACCCCTCGCTGTCAGCCAGGTGACGGCGAGGAAATGGAGCCGCACAGCCACCGGCCCTCTGGGGGCACGTGGAAGGGCGCGGGCAAGAGGTCACTAAACCTGGTGACCTCTGCCAGGAAGGGCTTTGGGAGGGTGTTAAATCACTGGCTCAAATGGCTGTCTTGGGGCTTCCCTGGTGGCGCAGTGGTTGAGGGTCCGCCTGCCGATGCAGGGGACACAGGTTCGTGCCCCGGTCCGGGAAGATCCCACATGCCACGGAGCGGCTGGGCCCGTGAGCCATGGGTGCTGAGCCTGCGAGTCCGGAGCCTGTGCTCCGCAACGGGAGAGGCCACAGCAGTGAGAGGCCCGCGTACCGCAAAAAAAAAATTAAAAAAATAAAAACAAAAAACAAAGGGCTGTCTTGAGTGAAAAATACCAGCACCCACTTCAGATGAAGCTCCAACCTCTACCTCCTCGGTAGAATGGAAGCTCCAGGGGGCCCAGAGGTTTTTACCCCTTCCTGCGTCCCTGCACCATCAACACTTTGTAGGTGAACATCTGCTAACCCGGCAGCTCTCTCATTAGAAAGAACAAAGGGCCCTTTGCCAAGACGGGGAGCTCTGCTTGGTCTGGAGGCCCAGCTCGAGCCGTTCCATGAGGTGCCCGCAGGTGGGGTTCTTACCGGGATGGAGGTGGAGGCCGGCTTGGGATCATTTCGGGCTAAGCCTGGCGGCTACTCAAGATCGGGGAGTCAGGCGTCCGAGGAAACGCCACTGTCACAACCCTCACTTGCTCCTTGGCAAATGGCAGCTGTCTTTGGCTGAATGGAAGCCACTCTATCCGGGCACCTGCCCGCCCACCGCCGACAGGGTCCAGCCACCCCTGCCTGGGCTCACGAGTGCTCCCTCGGGGGCAGCTGAGGAGCAGCCCCGTGGGTGCCCCACCGTGCCCGGGCAGTGCGCCAGCCAGAGCAGGCAGCGTGGAGGGACCAGACGAGGAAACACCCGTTGGCATGAACCACGAAGCGGGAAGAGCTCCAACTCCGACTGACAGGCAGCAGACGGGCTTTCCTCCGTGGTCACGAACGCCCTCCAGGCTTTTGCTGGCCCTTTCCACCCACCCCCCGAGTCCGCGTAGGACCCCACTTCCTACTCTTGAGCCCAAGCAGAGGCCTCCGCGGCGTGCCAGGCTCATCTGCAGAGGGCCCCACACAGCAGCTGTCCTGGTGGGTCTTTGAAGCTGTAACCTTGAACGTCCTGCTGGAACTTACTCCTACTTCCGGCCCCAGCCAAAGGCCAGACACCTTGCCTAGTACGTAGAAATGGTCAGCACTTACAAAGTTTGTGATAATCATTGCCCTCCCTCATTTGAAGTTTTTATCACTCATTAACAGAAATGCCCTTCTATTTCTGGGTTTTATTGTAGGTGCTGAAAGTGGGAATGGTGTTTATCCTTCAGAAGGAAGTTGGGAAGCGTGCAAAGGCCCTGGTCCAGAAGGTGACCATCCGACAAAAGGCCAAAGACCTGCCCTTTTCCCAGGCCTGAGTAACTCCCCCCTGGAAAAATGAGGGAGTGTCTTTCAGTTCCGTGAGTTTAGGATTCCATTTTGAGAGAATATACAAAATGACCAAGGAAGGTTTACTGAAGAAAAATTCTCCAGAATTCACCAGTATTTTGCAAACATGCTGAGCACATGCGATCATTAGTGATTACATCAATCTGGTAGTACTGTAGTCAAGGTCCTTTTGGTTGTGCAAAGGAAAAACTCCCTTGAGACTGACTTTTAAAAAGCCAAAGTGCATCCTAAGGATACCCGAGGAATTGATGGAGTCCACGGCAAGGATGCAGGACTAGAGCCAGAAACCTTCACCACCTCCAGGCTACAAGGCAGCTGCTCTCACCCACTTGCTCTCGTGTCTGTCATTTCTGCTCGTACAGATCTCTGCTCGTCCACGTGGCACCAGCTCAGGGGTCCTGACTTGCAAGTGCCCCATACGTGCTATCACCCCAGACAGGGACTGGGATGTCTCCTGCCCTTTGCAAAATTCTTTGGATAAAGAATGTTCCTGGGCCTGTTTGGATCGGGAGAAGATCAACCCTGGTCTGATCAACTGGTGTGCGGGGGAGGGGAGGGACGAGGTCCTTGTGTACAAAAGGCCCCACAGCACGGTAATGAGAGAGGCGCCCGCCGCTTCAGCAGTGCTTAGCTATCAGTACTTAAAACAAAGACGTCTGTACTTTTCTATTCAGAGCGACCTTCCCCTCCAAATGCTTACTGAACTAGCCAAAGCTTCAGAAACGTAAATGACCGGCATTTTACAAACTTGTACTGAAGCTGAAACCCAAGCAGAAAAGGTTACAAAAAGTTGCTCCCTGTTTTACTGCCCTTCACTGGGCTAGGTTGGTACTTGTTTTTTTAATTTTCATCACATCTTACATGAGTGATGAAGACACGCCCAGTTACAAAAGGTACCCCCCTTTTCACTGACATTTTTTTTTTTTAACAATATGCATTGATGTCAACATCGTGATAAACCTGGATGTTCAGTTGATTCACTGCACCTATAAAAGCCCTGCCAGGGAATCCTATTTTGTGGGCACACCACACAGAGCCTGGCACTCGAGGTCAGATGATTCCAATCCTAATCTGAAAATAAGCGCAAGGAGCTCCGTGAGAGCATATGTCTCGTCTGGCTACCAGTTTCAGGCCACACTTTGCTTCTGTGTCCTACAGTGGGCGGGGCAGAAAAAGTAACCCAGTCTCAAACTTGCTATTCTTTTCCTTTTAAGAACCTTACAACTACCGACATCTCTAGCTCCGAAGCACACAACGCACACAAAGACATGACTGGACAGTATCTTAACTGAAAGCACTAGTTTAAATAGCCTAGAGTCTTACGGAAAATGTTATTTCAAACCATGCAGAGGCAAGAGTCACCCAAAACCACAGTTTATTCTATGACCTTTATATTGCTTTTCTGTTATTTAAAGGTTGAAGCAAAGTGAAGTGGATGGAAATATTCTGTTAAAAGAACAAAGTGAGTCAATCACAGCATATGCATCTAATAACACCTCAGGTCTATGCCATACGCTCCAAACACAAGGCTGAGTCCAGGAGTGGCTCATGTTCTGGGTTCTTGTAAAGCAAATGGAAATATTGGGAAGAATCAACACATCCCAACAGAGGAGCCATAAATGCCCTGAAAGCAGAAAGTTGACACAATTTTAAATATAATTCATATATATATATTTTAAAATCAAACACAATTAAATAGAATATGGTTTAAGTACATGAATACTTCACTTTAGAAGAATAACAGAGGTGGTACATAGTACCAAAAACTCATACACAGCCTTTCTGCTTCTTCTGTTGATGAAACAGTGCATGTCTATACAACCAAATATTGCAGTGGAATAAATTCTCTGTTCATTCAAGACTTTCTCAAGGACAGAGGTGATAATTATATATTCATATGTGTATATATGTATTTTTTGCAAAGTCTGAGCAAAAGCAGTAACACCTAAGAGAACGTTCTTTCCCTCCAACAGTCCGTGTGGTGAGGCAGCACTGGCACCGCCTGCATGGAGTGTGCTGGCCGACAGGGCGGCCCCGCCCATGGCAGTGCGGTCCAGACCCTGAAGCTGACCAAGTGGAAGTGCAGGGAGGGGCCTCTCGTTACCCCACAGACAGAAGAAAAAGGCCACAACCTGCACATCTCCCAGCGCAGAGCAAAGAAGAGGAGAGAGTCAGAACTGAGTGCCTCTCTGTCTCCACACCTGCCCGCCCACCTTCTTTAAAAACTCTACAATCTGGGAATAAACATTTTGTTCAAGGAACCACAGGGGAAAACTGGAGTGATGGCTGTTGCACATCCCTTTCCACAAGTACTCTGAGGGGAGGTGACGTCACCGGAGCCCAGAATCTCGGAGGAGCAAGTCCTACCACTTGCAGTGCAGAGGCTCGTCCTTCCGGCAGCGGGGGAGCTGGTTTTAAGAGTACTGCGTCTCAGGAGCAATTAAAACGTGAAAACCATACACTGTCACCAAAGGGGAGGACAACGTCACCAAGACTTGACTCACGGCCCGTGAGCTTCCTCCCAAACTGATGCCTCTGTGCAGACCCCGCTCCCCGGAAGAAAAGCCACCTGCTGGTGCCGCACTGCCTGGCTCCTGAGGGGCCGACTCACCTGCCTGTTCAGGAGACCAAGCGAGGCCCCTCTGGTACCCGCTGTCTGATGCTGTTGGGGTGGGTCACCGCCAAGGGAGGTGCATCAAATACCGGCTCTACGCCTCTGCGTCTCCCATGGCGTGTGGCCCCTGCCTATCCCAGTGGAGTAACACTCTTCCACACATGGGTTATTGCCATTGGAAAACTAGTAATTCTCTAGTAATGTAAACAACACCACTCTGTCTCTACAACCTTCACTGTGTGATCAACATGTGCAGATGTGTCTACGCGACACTCTGCCGACGGTGGAAGTCTAGGATTGTCTGCCATTCTTTCTTGGGAACAACAGTGAGAAGAAATACAGTGCTCTGTTTTCACTGGCTGTGGGGAAGAATCCAACCAAAGGAAAAAAGTTCTCCTATTTTCCAAAAGCAGATTTCCTTTATCTCAGGTCTTGAGTCATAGCTGATGAAAGAAAGGAAAAGAAAAAGGTAAGGTACATTTCTACAACCAGTGACACATTACCATCACAGATTAAGGAAGAAGGGCACCAACACTTACACTTGGTTGAGCGCCTACTACATACCAGCGCTCATGACAGCCAGGACCCGACTACAATCACGGGAGGTAAAATGCCCTAATTATCTTCATTTACAGCTGAGTGAATGGAAGCCTAAGGAGGCCAAGCAACCCACCTGAAGGTTATATAACGAGGACTGGCACCCAGACTTGCTTTTATCTTTCCGTTTTGGCAACAGATATTAGAACGAAACATCTACTTTTTGACAGATAATTCTGCTTCTAGGAATTAACTCTAAAGCATACTCATAAGAGAGGGCAAAGACTTACATACACATTCATCAAAGTATTGTTTGTAACAGGGAACGATCCCAAACGACCTAAGTGACCATCCACAGGGGATTCATTAGATGAAGACAGAGCCATAATATGGAATGCGCCAAAGCCTTTAGAAAGAAAACAGAGAGCTTTGATCTTCTGGCCTCCTAAGACCAAGCTTCTGAGGCTGAGTCCTCTTTTTCACTGCACTGGGGAGGAAACAAACATCACAGAAGACATGGTCCCTGCTATTTGTGAGATGGGACATAAACACATGAAACAATTCAGTAATGCTGTGAGGTCATTTACATTAAATGCCCAAGTGCTTTCTATAGACAAATGTAGAGTAGGTGATTCAAAGCAGAGAGGTATCCACAGGGGTTAAAGAGGGGTTGGGTACTCCTTTGTGGGTGCAGGACTTCTCACATTCACACATTCATGGAATGAGAATTACAGGGGATCTTATGAGATTTTCTTGTCCAACTTCTCTGATCTACTGATAAGGAAACGAAGGGACCAGAGAAAATTAACTTGCAAAAGGTCACACATACTAAAAATGGACTGAACGAGGTCTGCCGGCCTACTGCTTTTTCCATACCAATACACTGCTGATTCCTAAAGGACAGGCAGGACAATCATCTTGGCCAGCCAAAGAGGTCTAGCAAGGTTAAACGCAAAATATATCTGTGTATCTTAGAAATGAAAAGCATATGGTAATAAAATCTGAACACACAACTCCAATGAAAAGCCTTAAGTTTAAACATCTGCTTTCCAAAATGGTTTCTAAAGAACATTTTCATATTGTCAAACATTTGATCATCAACATGACAATGGGGAAGCACAAAAATAACTACCTTGCACTTCTTTATACACCTTTACCATGTTATTTGCTATTCTGGGTTTGACTGAGCCAGTGAATATAGGCAAAAATTATCACCCTTACATAGAAAAGAGGATGGAGTCTGCAAAAGTAAACAGAGTTTTGGTATGAATCAGCTCAGTGAAAAGTTCAAAATTAAACCAAGTTCTGGTAATAACAGAGTAAAAAGTTGGCTACAAAGTTAGCAAGGAAAGGTGATGCTGGACCCAAATCTAAGTTCACGCCTCCATCTGAACATAGGTAACTAACATAGTGTTCCTAACTCCTGATAAAGTAGACAGAAGAGTTTAACACCTTCACAAAGAGTCTGAGCAGAGGTTCTCCTGTCACATGAAGTCTTTGTGAGTCAACTCAAGTTACAGAAAGCAAAGGTGGTGGAGGAACTGGGAGTCTTTGCCTGAAGAGATAACCGGGGGTGCTAAGGGGCTGCCTCCAATTTGCTGGGTTATTTGTGTGGCTCTTGTGGGCACAGCTGGTGAAGCCATAGAAAAACAGAGTATTCAGTTGGGGGCAAGTCAGAATTTCCTAATAATTACTGTTGTTGACCTCCAGGTAAAGATGGCAGATTGATCACATCCATTCAATTCACTCCTTCCTAAAGTAGTACTTAAAAAAAAAATAACCCAGAGAGTCCGCCTGCTGATGCAGGGGACAGGGGTTTGTGCCCTGGTCCGGGAGGATCCCACATACCGCGGAGCGGCTGGACCCGTGAGCCATGGCCGCTGGACCTGCGCGTCCGGAGCCTGTGCTCCGCAACGGGAGAGGCCACAGCAGTGAGAGGCTCGCGTACCGCAAAAACAAACAAACAAACAAACAAAAAACCAAACAAAAAAACCAAAGTCACATGAAAGGGAAAAGTGAGAGAAGAGGCAACAACAAAATGGAAGAGTGTAAATGACTTAGTAGATCCAAAAAAAAAAGTAATCGAGATTCACCTTTATCTTTATTACTTCCTTCTTTCTGCTTTCTTTGGGTTTCATTTACTCATTTTCTAGTTTCTTAAGATAGAAGACTGTGACTTTTCCTCTTTTCTATTATAAATATTTAATGCTATAAATTTACCTATAAGAACTGCTTTAGCAGTATCCCACAAATATAGTTGTCCCTTAGTAATGGTGGGGGATTGGTTCCAGGACCCCTGCAGATACCGAAATCCGAGAATGCTCAAGTGCCTTCCATAAAATGGCACAGTATTTGCATATAACCTACACGCCTCATCCTGTGTATCTGAAATCACCTCTAGCTTACTTGTAATACCTAATTCAATGCAAATGCTATGTAAATAGTTGCCAGGCCATGGCAAATTCAAGTTCTGCTTTTTGGAACTTCATGGAAATTTTTTTTTTTTTAATATATTTTTGATTCGTGGCTGGTTGAATCCATGGATGTGAAACCTTCAGATGTGGAGCCCACGAATAGGGAGGGCAGATTCTACTATGTTGTGTTTTCAGTCCAAAATATTTTCTAATATTCCTTTTGATTTCTCCTTTGACTAATGGGTTACTCAGAAGTATGTTAATTTCAAAATATTTGGGGATTTTCCACATATCTTTCTTTCTCTTTTATTTTTTTTTGGCTGTGCCACACAGCTTGTGAGATCCTAGCTCCCCGACCAGGGACTGAACCCAGGCCCTCAGCAGTGAAAGCCCAGAATCCTAACCACAGGACAGCCAGGGAATTCCCTCCATATATCTTTCTGTGACTGATTTCTTGTTTAATTCCTTTATGGTCAGAGAAGAAACTGTATGCTTTCAATCCTTTAAAATTCATTGAAAGCTTACAGTTTGTCCTCCCTACACTTTGGAAACTGCTTCCAGGAAGTGAACTAGGGATCATCTCAATGTTACCTTCCTTTCAAGGATTAAAGTCCTCTACTGAGTGTTGTCTAATATCTGGAAATAGCTGTTTCATTTAGTTTGTCAGTTTTCTAGTTGTTTATAATGAGAGGGCAATTCCTATAGCAGTTAACACTTCAACAGCAGAAGCAGAAGCTCCCTTATGTCCTTTTAAATTTTTGTGTCTCTGGGATCTAATTCTCTTCAGTTTTACACACGCTAGATCAGAACACAAATCATCCTTACCTTTGTGGACTTCTCTAACGGCTGATCACACTGTGCCTGCTGCATAACATCACTGACTATCATTTTAGCAATCTTCCAAGCTAGCTCTTCCTGGGCCTATAAAAGTAATTAAACTGTTGATAATGGTTATTCACTAGAAGAATAAGCAAACATTATTAATGTTCTAAACACACCTGTATATGCATATCATTTCTACTTATTTGGGAAGAAGCACGTCCCCACGTATGAAAGGACCCGGGCCACCCTCTGGTCGTGATATATTAACATGCTCTTCACTGTCTATCCGACATCATGACTATTTTCATGTTAGGTGGTCAAAACAAAACATCTTTCTTTTTCCACTCTCATCTTTCAATGTACTTAACTATTCAAAAAGCAAGCCTCTACTTCTGAAAGTATAACACACAGTGAGGAAGGAAACACTGAGCTTTTGTTTCTACACTGTTACTGGTGCCTCTGCTGATTAATGGAACCTTGACTGCTTGGATATTTTTCACTGGCCAGACTCTGGACTGAGGATACCTCCACTGCCTCTACCAGGCAACTGTGAGATGCTACGGAGGGCCAACCCCTTCTTGTTATCTCCTAGATAAGGAAGCAGCGATGTACCATGCTGCTTAAGCAAGGGAGCTAAGGAAAGAGAAAACTCGAAACCTTGCTTAGAGTAAGTGTCCCTTATAAACAGGAATCTGTTTACACTAAAAGTAGAATTTACCTCATCAGTATTTCCTTGCACCCATTTCTTCATAGCTTGAGAGAACATGGATCCTAGTAAACAAAGCCAAAGTTGAATGTAGACCTCATGCGTAATTTTACATTAAAAAATGCTCTTATATAAACATCTATTTCCCAGCTTTTAAAAGATATTCTTTTTTTAAAGATGTATCTTTTTTAAAAGATACTATTTTTGGGGTACAACCTTACCCCAAAATTAAGGAATATTACCATTAATAAAAACTGATTATATTGGCTCCATAGCAGAGTATTTAACTTGCAAATATTATGGTTTGAAAAACTTTGAAAAGCTGTTTTAGAGCTCTAGATGTTTCTTCTATTCTCCTCACTTGATGAAAGAAACTATCATCTAGTGTTAAATCTGCAGTAAACATTCAAAGATCAAATAAAACCATGACCAGGATCTGGTCTTGAGATAAGAATCTAGCAATACATCAGGAGATGTCATGTATATAAATCTTTTGGATCAGCTCCTATACAAAAGGGCTTCCAGTGCAGATTATGCCGCTACATGCTGGATCTCTGGTCTGTGTAAATTTGCTGGGTAAGATCAGAGTTTTAAACAGCCATGCTCTGTCCAGGCCATAATACACCTCAACTTCCCAGGAGACACACAAGTCTATCTACATCTGTACTCTAGATGCTGAGGAGTCACCAAGGACGTAGGCTAGCCTCTATTTCCAGGTATAAAATACACAGCTTATCCTTTCATTAATACATATAGGCTCACATCCTAACTTTGCCTTAAACCAAGTGGTTGGTAGATTATTTCTTAGGCAAGATCCTGATTAGTTCAATGACTGGGATATGCTATAGTAAACTGCAGCATTCATGAAAAAAAACAAAACCTGGATCCTTTCCCCTTAATATATTTTTATTTTATTTATTTTTTAAAACAATGGCTTTCTTTTTTTTAAAATTATTATTACAAATTTATTATTTATTTATCTATTTATTTTTGGCTGTGTTGGGTCTTCGTTGCTGTGCACGGGCTTTCTCTAGTTGCATCGAGCTGGGGCTACTCTTAATTGCGGCATGTGGGCTTCTCATTGTGGTAGCTTCTCTTGCTGCGGAGCACGGGCTGTAGGCGTGCGGGCTTCAGTAGTTGCAGCACGTGGGCTCAGCAGTTGTGGCTCGCAGGCTCTAAAGCGCAGGCTCAGCAGCTGTGGCACACGGGCTCAGGTGCTCCGCAGCATGTGGGATCTTCCCGGACCAGGGCTCGAACCCGTGTCCCCTGCCTTGGCAGGCGGATTCTTAATCACTGAGCCACCAGGGAAGCCCAATGTTTTGTATTATTAGCTAAAAGTTTGAACACTGATCTAGTTAAATTTTATAGCCAAGCAGAGCCAGCAGGGCCACAACATTACATACTCTGCCTATAGTCTCACCCCTGCCGCAATGCTCTGTCCTCGGGCTCCCCTGCAGTCACCCCGTTGGCAGCGTACTTGTGAACACTTCCTCCTCCTCTTCTAATGCCCTCTAATGTCTTTGACTCCTGTGCATCCCTGCCCCCTTTAACAAGGAGCTTCATCAGGATTCCATTCCGTTCAGCACTTTCTGGGGCATCTCATCCCCTCCTGTGGCTTTAACTTCCTTCAAAATGCAAATAACTCAAAAACTTGTCATTGGGTGTCAAACCAATACTTACAAATTGTCCTAAGGCACCTCAAACATAACATGTTCCGAGTTGAGCTCTTCTATCTCCCATGTACTCTTTTTCTTGTAGCCTCTATCTCAGAAATTAATTTAATCCTCTGTTAAAAATTAACATCATAATGCTTCATCTAGAGAACTGATATTAGAAAACTCATCTGCTTTCCTCATCTGCTTTCCTCATCTGCTCTCCGTAGGAAATCTGTCACCAAATTCCACCTTGGATGTAGTCTCCTGAATTCCCCCTTGGAAGTCTTATAAATCTGACCTTCTAGTTCCTGCTACCACTACCTATCCTCGGATCCTCTTTTTCTTCTATCTACATTACTAGCAAATTACACTACCTGACTACTACCTGAATCTCTGATACCAGTCTCTCCCCAACTCCAATTCATTCGCAGACTACAGCCAGAAAAATGCATCTCACTGCACTCTGATTAGAAATCTCTGGTGCTCAACAGATAGTACCGCAGGCTTCTTAGTATGACATGCGCGGGCTTTCACAGCGTACACGCGGCTCTATCTCCCACCACTGCACCGGTGCACGAGGAGACTGCCACTGCAGGGACTACCTTCTCACAACATCCTCTACAATTCCTTCTTGTTACACTTTCTCCTAGATGATGTGAAGGTAACTTTTAAAATTACCTTGCTTGCCCTGAAAGCAAAGTTCTCACATTCTCAGAAGCTTCTGAGATACACCCACCCCAAAACATAGTCCTTTCTTCTGTGCTCTACTATCAGAGCTCAGAGCTTTAAAATCCAAAATGAAACTACAGGTTGGTAAATGACAAACATTCTTCGCAGCTGCCCTCAGCAAGGAGATGAAGGGGGACGAAGCAGAGCTGAACTGCAAACAAACGTGGTGTTCTGAACCAAAGCTCGAGGCTGCGCTCTATCTGCTCTGTGATCCGTAACGAGTTACCATTTCCCTGATCCTCAACTTCTTCACCTGTAGAAGAAGGAGGCGGTACCCACAGATGTATCATCTACGATTCGAATGAGCCAGGGCTTAGTCCCCCGTTCCGCTCAGGTGTCTACTCAAAATGCTACTTCCTCAGTGAGACCTTTCCTGAGAACCACTTCTAAGACTGCACTACCCACCACTCTTCCAGTCCCTCACTCTGCTTATTTGTCTGTGTATAAACACAGACAGACAGACACACACACTGTATTTATCTGTTTACTGTCCCTCCACTATAACGTTAGTTCCATGAGGGCAGGAATCTCATTTTCTTCCCAGTATTTAGAGCAGTAGATGCATATAGTAGGCACTCAAATGTTAGAATGAATGAACAAACGAATAATATGAAGAGACTGAATGAATAGAATAAGCAGAGACAGTGATTTGGGGAAAAGTTTTTTGTACATCTTACCTTCATCTTTACTCATATATCTTTAATATATGTTAATTCATATAATACAAAAACAAACTGCAAACACCCAACACTTATTCTCTGGAGCAGCAGCACCTTATGAGCTGTCAAAGGAATAAGACCAGCTTCAGAAAAAAAACCCAAACAGCTCAGAGACTCTATTATTACTGGAGACCCCATTACCCTCTCTGACAGAAGCTACCTGATGACAGTGGAGGCATTCCTGACCGATACCTCCAGAGGTTGTCCAGCACTTTCTCTACACCTAGGCTACCACTGATCTCTTCCTAGTATTCAACTTCTACCCAATAAAAGACACTACTGGACTGTAAGTTTCTTAACAACAGGCTCTGTATCTTCTAACTGCCCCGTGAGTCTGAGTGCACGGAGGCACTCAATAATTATTTACAGAATGAGCTGTGCAGACTTCCTTCGGTCTTTACACTTTCCCAACTGTGTACCTCAGACTTCTCTGGCTAAATAGGAAATAAAATCAATTTTTTGGATAAACTAATAAAGACAAATAGGTTAACAGGCCCTTTCTTCGTTTAAATTATTTCAACAATTGTTGCACCTTTTGTTTACTCTGTTAATTTATATCTGACCCCAAAGTAGATTATTCATCAACATAAAAGTGGTGCAGGGCTTCCCTGGTGATGCAGTGGTTAAGAATCCGCCAATGTGGGAGACACGGGTTCGAGCCCTGGCCCGGGAAGATCCCACATGCCACGGAGCAACTAAGCCCATGAGCCACAACTACTGAACCTGCGCTCTAGAGCCCATGAGCCACAACTACTGAAGCCCACGTGCCATAACTACTGAAGCCTGCGCGCCTAGAGCCCGTGCTCCACAACAGGAGAAGCCACCACAATGAGAAGTCCGCGCACCACAATGAAGAGTAGCCCCCGCTAGCTGCAACTAGAGAAAGCCCACGTGGCAACGAAGACCCAACACAGCCAAAAATAAACAAACAAACAAAATCTAAAGTTAGTAACTATTAAAAAAAAAATGTGGTGCAAATCATTACCTAAACAATTCGTGTATTAAAAAATAAGATAAACAGAATAGAAATGCAGTTCAATTCAATAGGAAGACTGCCAATAGCTCTTAATTTTAAACACACTTATCAAAATGGAACATTTTCTTCTAACAAAAGTTAGTATCTTTCACTCAAGATAATACTGTCAATCCAATCACACTGAAAATTTTCTACATATTATCGAATGGACCCACAGTGGTTTCCTAAATCTTCCTGTGTAAACCAACTGTTTGGAAGCTGAGCTCAGTCACAAAGAGTATGTCTGTGTTTAACTCTTGGAATTAACCAAGCACTCTTTTGCTGATTAAACAAAGGATTTCAATTTCAACCTATTAATATTTTCCACATGTATTTCATAATAACTTTCAGCAATTTAGAGGAAATTTAGTAAAATAAAGGGTATCAAGATAAGCCTCAAGTTCAACCTGGATTGGGTATTTTGCCTTTAAATCAAAAGGTGAAGAGTATCTTTTCATGCACATGCGCCTTCTGTAATGGTAAAGCAAGTTCAGTAACTTCTGATTCAGAGAGAGACTGCACTGAGACCTGATTACACGAAGCCCTTGCACTCGCTCGTGACTATAAACACAAGGTCAAGAGATGGCAGTTATCTGGCAAAATAGACAGTTTAAATCTTCAACGATGCTTTACTTACTGTCAGTAACTAATGTGAGTAAAGGCTTGATACAACGTATAAAAACACCACAAACCTTTCGATTTCTTTACATCAGGTTCAGGCTCAGATTCTCGGATGAACTGCCCCAAGTCACTAACTCTTCCAAATGTCATCTTCCTAAATAAGTATGAAAAGAACATAGTTTCTAAAAATCAATTTAAAATTTAAAAAAAATAATTTTTAAGCATCTTTTCTAGATCTAGAAAGCTAGAAATACAATTTATATCTACCCCATGTTACTCTAAGTGGGGCTAATTTCAAAAAGAACTGTCCCCACAGAAAGCAATCTTTAATTCAATGCAATTCCATTCAAAATGCTCAAAAAGTTTATGAAACATGAGTTAACAGATAATTCACAGCTCTAAAATTCATACAGAAAAGGCACGCGCATAGCCAAGATAATCCTGTAAAAGAAACAAAAAGGTAAGACTTGCCCTAACAAGATAAAAATATAATTATATACATTATAAAGCTATAGTACTAGAAAGCAAAGTTAAAAGGCAAAAAATACAGTGAGAGGTCTTATTTTTAATAGATGCAGTAACTGATAATTAATAACCATAAACATACAGAACTCCAACAAACCACTAAGAAATTACCCAACAGAAAAATGTGAAAAAGAGATGATAGTCAATTCACAGAAGAAAAACCTGAACAACCAACAAACATGACAAGAGAAGCTCAATCTCATAAGCAACAAACCCAGATTGGTAAAACATTTAAAGTCTGATATTATTTATTGTTGACAAGGATGTGGGGAAAATTAGTAACTTTATTAATGATTGGTAAGAATGTAAAATGTACAGATCCTTTTACAGGTAAACTGTAAACTGGTTAAGGGCTATGAAAATTTTAAATCTGCTTCTTGGTACAAGGAAATATAAAAGGAAGTCTTTGCTATACTGTGTATCACAGTAAAATTGCAAGCCATTTAAATAACCCATTAATACCAAAATAGCCAAATAGTAACACACCACATTATGGAAGATTTTGCCACAGTTATGAGCTATAATTACTATTATTTATGGAATACTACAACATAGTTAAAAATGAGGTAAATATGTACAGACTAACACAGAAAAATCTCCAAACTCACTATGAGTGAAAGCACAAGATACAGCATAGAGTATAACACCAGTTACATAAAAATAAGCAAACAAAAATATACACAATAACATAACAGTGACTATCCTGAGAAGGAAGGGGGGGAATAAGCATTGGTGTGTAATCAAAGGGCACATTAGCCTTATCTGTAAATTTAATTTTTGTAAGAAGAGATTAATATATTTGTAATTAAAAGTTAAAAGAAGAAAAAAGAATCCTATGATGCCTATATATTACTTCATTTCTGGCAAAGTGAATCTTATTTTAGAGACAGCCTTCCTAATAAGTCATCAATGAATATATGGGTGCCAATATAGCAACTGATACAAATTTGTTTGCCTTTAGAAAAATTTCAGGAAGATGCTAAAACCATAAAACTAAAACAAACACTGAAAACTATCTCTAAAGATGGAGAAAAATAATTATTTCTCTATTTATGACCCATTTTATAATTTTAAAAATATGTATATTATACACTATATTTTACAAATTTAAATTTTATAAATTAAAATATATTTATTTTACACACAAAAAAAACTATAGAAGTAAAACATCTTGCAATTGATAGACTTTCTTAAGTCAGATTTGAAATAAATGAACCAACCATTCCTTAAGAATAAATATCATCTTTGGGAATTAACTCATTTAAGCTTACTGTCCGCCATTTCCTAAAATAAGAAATAAAGATTACTACACACTGATACAGCTGAAGACAATGTGGTCAAAATAACCTTCTATTTACTTCAAAGTATTTTTCAGACTTCTTGGTCTCCCAAATATCAATTTACTTTCTGGTAAAAGCAATTAAACATGTTGAAATCCCTTTTTTATGGTACTGCCAGGACTGGGGTGCGGTAATCATGCCTTTACACAGGTTTCTGTGTTTTCAAGCCATCTTTAGGGAAGAGGAAGTGATTTTATGATTTGATCTGTGGTAAGGATCAAGAAGTGCTGTAACACAGGAATCACTGTCTTTCTGTTACAGGAAAAAATCAAGAACCAAGTTAATTCTTAAATACAAAGGAATCATTTTATTCCATTTTTCCAAGTATAGTTGGTTCTCCGTATCTGCAGGTTCCACATCCACAGACTCAACCAACTGCCGACTGAAAACTTTAGGGAAAAAAAAGCCAGAAAGTTCCAAAAAGCAAAACTTGAATTTGCTGTGCATTCCAACCATTTACATAGCATTTACATTGTATTTACAACTATCTACATAGCATTGACATTTTATTAGGTATTATAAGTAATCCAGAGATGATTTATACAGGCTTAAAATACTAGGCCACTTCCTATAAGGAACTTGAGTATCCTCAGATTTTGGTATCCGAGGGGGTCCTGGAATCAATCCCCTGCAGTTACTGAGGGATAACAGTAATAGTTATACAGTCCATGATGAACCATATCGGCATCTTTGTAGTTTAGTTTTGGTTTTAAGAGAGAGACTTTGAAATAGCTAACATATGAATCCAATGAAATGTGGAAGAGATAGCCTAAAACACACTATGTAAACATGACACTCATCAGAGTCGTATATGGTGGTAGAATAGTGATGTCAATGATATTTACCGAGTGTTCACTGACATCTGGCAATGTTTTAAATGCTTTTCACGTATTATATCATTTAATCCCCTCACCAGCCCAAGGAAGCAGGAATATTATCCTCATTTCACAGATGAAAAACCTGAGACACAAAGAGGTTAGGTAGCTTGCCATAAGCGGCTGAGCCAAGACTGAAACCCAGGAAGTCACTCCTGAGCCTTCACCCTTAACCATGCTCTAGTGCATTGCAGGTATATTCAAGAGAGTAGAAAACAATTTTTAAATTAAAAAATAAAAAAGATGCTCACCCTGCATATGTCCGTTGATACAAAGATTCTGGATCCAGACTTGCAGCATCCACAATTATCGCTTCATCAAAATTTTTCAGAATTTTAACACTGGCTTTTTTCACACTAGACTACAACAGAAATTGTGAAATTAGTAGTATGTTATTCAGGAGTCAAATCAGTCCTGGGTTTGGAGTAACAGATTCGTACAAAATCTTCAGTGTTTGAAACACATGCACTTTTCACTCAACCCTGTCACTAATGAGATGTTTAACAGCAATGATTCTGAAATGTCATCTTGAACATAACTACAGGAGGGAAGCACAATACTAAAGCATACGACACATGCGTCTATGTGGCAAATGTATTTTCCTTAATGACTGAAGTTCCAACAAACGTGCTTATGTTCCCAAAACTCCCATTCTTCCAAGCATATGTATCTTGCCTAATAAATGTAAAGCCCAACTTTTACAGGATAAACATGAATGCTTTTGATTCTCACTGTGGCCGTGTGACAAAAGAGAAGATAAAGGAAACTTTCTAAAATGACCAGCATTCTATCTCCTACTCCTCATGCCCACAAAAAAAAAAAAAGCAAGTCATAATTGGTACTTCTGTGAAATGCGGAGGCATGGGTTGACCCAGAAATTCCACTTCTAAAAATTCAATTATAGACAGACTCACACTTATGCAAAATGACTTATACACAGGAATACTTATTGCAGCATTATTTCAAGTAACAAAAGACAGGAATACATTTAACATCCATGACTAAAGCATAGGTTAAATTAAAAAAATAATTGAACAGACACTTATAGAACACTCTATAGTAGGGGTAAAAAGGGCTCTCTTTACATGCTGAGAAGGGCACATAATTAAAAAGAAAGAGGCACCAGAATAAAAGAACAGAGAAATACTTCCATGAGGCCACTGAGGTAAGATACCAAAATGAGATATCACTAGTAAAGAAAACTACAGACCACTACCTCTTAGGAGTACAGATGCAAAATCCTCAACAAAATACTAGCAACATATAAAAATAATTATATACCACAACTAAGTGGAATTTATCCCAAGAATGCAAGGTTGGTTTAACATCTGATAATTAATTAATGTAATATACCATAACGACAGAGTAAATCCCCAAAACCCACATAATCCCCTCAATTGATACAGAAAGAGCATTTGATAAAATCCAACAGCCTTTCATGATAAAAAACATTCAACAAATTAGGAATAGTAGGGAACTTCCTCAGCTTGATAAAGAGCATTTATAAAAATCCCACACATCACAATAAATGATGAAAAACTGAAAGCTTTCTCCGAGAAATCAGGAAAAAGACAAAGATGCTCACTTTCACCACTTCTATACTGCAAGTTCTAGCCAGAGCAGTTTAGCCAAGAAAAGGAAATAAAAGGCATCTAAAGTTGATAAGAAAGAAAACTATTATTATTCGCAGATGACATGACCTTACATATAGAAAATCCTAAAGAATCCACAAGAAAACTATTAGAGCTAACAAATGAATTTAGTAAAGTTGAAGGTACCAGATAAACACACGAAAAGCAGTTACATTTCTATACACTTAGTGAACAATCAGAAAATGAAATTAAGAAAACAATTTCTATTTATAATAGCATTGAAAATAATAAAATACTCGGGGATAAACTGACTCCAGGAGGTGTAAGAATTGTACATTTCAAACTACAAAACACTGCTGAAAAAAATTAAAGATGGCCTAAATAAATGGAATGATATTCCATGTTCATGGACTGTAAGACTTAATATTGTTAAGATGGCAATACTCCCTAAAGGAATCTACAGATTCAGTGTAATCCTGACCAAACTGTTAAAGCTGATCCTAAAATTCACACGGAACTACAAGGGACCCAAATAGCCAAAACAATCTTGCAAATGAAAAAAAAAAAACAAAGTCAGAGGACACACAGCTGCCGATTTCAAAACAGAGCCTGCAAACCACAGTAATCAAAACAATGTACCAGGGCTTCCCTGGTGGCGCAGTGGTTGAGAGTCCGCCTGCCGATACAGGGGACACGGGTTCGTGCCCCGGTCCGGAGAGATCCCACATGCCGTGGAGCGGCTGGGCCCGTGAGCCATGGCCACTGAGTCTGCGCGTCAGGAGCCTGTGCTCCGCAGCGGGAGAGGCCACAACAGCGAGAGGCCCGTGTACCGCAAAAAAAAAACACACAAAAAACCCCCCAAAAAAACCAATGTAGCACTGGTCTAAGTACAGACACACAGATGATGGAGTTGAGCTGAGAGTCCAGAATTAAACCCATCTATCTAAGGTCAAATGATTTTCAACAAGGGTGCCAAGATCATTCAACGGTGAAAGAGTAGTTTCTTCAATAAATAGTGCTGAGACAACCAGATATCCACATGCAAAAGAATAAAGTTGAATCCCACTTCACATAATACATAAAACTAACTCAAAATGGACCAAAGGCCCAAAACTCTTAGAAGAAAACAGGTGGGGGGCTTCCCTGGTGGTGTAGTGGTTGAGAGTCCGCCTGCCGGTACAGGGGATGTGGGTTCGTGCCCCGGTCCGGGAAGATCCCACATGCCGCAGAGTGGCTAGGCCTGTGAGCCATAGCCACTGAGCCTGCGAGTCCAGAGCCTGTGCTCCGCAATGGGAGAGGCCACACCAGTGAGAGGCCCGCGTATGGCAAAAAAAAAACCCAAAACAAACAAACAAACAAAAACAGGTGGGTATGGGGAGTAACTACTTAATGGACACGAGGCTTCCATTTGGGATGATGAAACATTGTGGTGATGACTACACAATACTGTGAATATACTAATGTCACAGAATTGTGTACTTTATAATGCTTAAATTTATGTTAAATGAATTTTACCTCAATTAAAAAAAATTGTATTTCTAAACACGATGAACAAGTTGAATGAGATTGGGAAAACAATTACATCTATAATAGCATCAAAAAGAATAAAACATTTAGAAATAAATTTAAGAAAAGAAATACTGAATTATACTTGAAAACTACAAAGTATTGTTAAGATGGCAATCCTCACCAAATTGATCTGTGGAGTCAAAGTACTCCCTCCCTATCGGAATCCTGACTAGTTTTGTCGTAGAAATTGACAAGCTGACCCTAAAATTCACATGGAATTGCAAGGGACCTCACACAGTCAAAACAATCTTGAAAAAGAACTAAGTTGGAGGACTCTCACTTCCTGATTTCAAAACTTATTACAAAGCAACAGTTACCAAGACTGAGTTAAACAGATATCATTCGACCCAGCAATCCTACTCCTAGGTATATACCCAAGAGGAATGAAAACCCATATCCACACAAAAATTATACAGTAGCATTGTTCATAACGGCCAAAAGGTGGAAACAACCCAAATGTCGATGAGCTGATGGATGAACAAAGTGTGGTGTGTCTACACAGTGGAATATCATTTGGCCATAAGAATGAACAAAATTCTAATACATGCTAGAAACACAGATGAACCTTGAAAACATGCTAAGTGAAAGAAGCTAGTCATAAGGATCACATATCGTATGGTTCCACTTATATGAAATGTCTGGAATAGGCTATAGAGACATAAAGTTAAAGTAGATTAGCAGTAGCCTAGGGCTGGAGGACAGAGGATTAGGAAGGTGATAGTTAAAGGACACAGGGTTTCTTTCTTGGGTGAAAAATGTTCTAAAATTGATTGTGGTGAGAGTTTAGCAACTCTATAAACATACTAAAAAACCACTGAATTATACAGTGTAAACGGATAAATTGTATGGTATGTGAATTATATCTCAATAAGGCTCTACAAAAAAAAAAAAAAGAGAGAGAGAGAAAAGAAAAGAGGAGGATAGTGACCGGAGCGGGGGCGCGAGTTTCTGACCTGCTGGTAACGAGGCCTGTGCCTTGATCTGGATGCTGGTTACATGGGTTAGGTCTGCTTACCGAAATTCTTTGAGCTGTATGCAGTTATGAAATGTAGAGTTCTCTGTATATGTTATTATACTTCAACCAAAAATGTAAAAATACATTTTATGGTTAGCAGCTAGACCTTTTAAGTACCCAAATAAAAACAAAGCATTCCAGCTTGTATCAAAAAACGAAATGGCAACCACACTCAGCAGGTCACCTCCTATGCAACCTCAATAAGAGGAAAAGGTACTGAGGACAGACAGCCTTGTTGACGGCAAGAAAACTGCACTGTCTTAAAACTTAAGAAAATTTATCCAAGGCCCAGGGTCAAAAATTATTTGCCAATAGTGATGAGAAAATAATTATGCTATATTATTAAACTTACGGTGGAAAAAACTAGACAGAGAATATATTCGTGGCTCTGCCACTTACTGTGTGACTTCAATAAAATCAATTGACTTTTTACTACCTCCTTACTCTGTTCTTGGGCATAACCCACTTTGTGTGATTTTGCAGATAGTCAGAGAAGGCCTGATATATGAAAGCACTCCAAAAAAGGTTAAGGAAATGTACAATGGCATTATAGTTCAAAATGAAACCAAAAGCTCTTCAGTGAAATATTAATAAATCTAGGAGTTCACTCAATTATTCTCTAAAAGAGCATTCCAAATTTAGTTACTAAAATTTCCCAAATAATTATACAAACAACTTTTCAGAGGCTATAAATATGTCATGTGATTTGATTATTTAAAGCAAGAGCTGGGTTTCCCTTGTGGAGCAGTGGTTAAGAATCCGCCTGCCAATGCAGGGGACACGGGTTCAAGCCCTGATCTGGGAAGATCCCACATGCCAGAGAGCAACTAGGTCCGTGCGCCACAACTACTGAGCCTGCGCTCTAGAGCCCAAGAGCCACAACTACTGAAGCCCGGGAACCTAGAGCCCCTGCTCTGCAACAAGAGAAGCCACCACAACGAGTAGCCCCCGCTCACTGCAACTAGAGAAAGCCCGCGCACAGCAACAAAGACCCAACACAGCCGTACATACATAATAAGTAAATAAATGTTTAAAAAAATAAAGCAAGAGCCGCAGTGTCAAGCAGAATAATGGTCTGACATCTTTACAATATGACACACTGTTAATCATCACAAAGACTTTGGTTAGCATATACAGTAAGTAAGCTAATTTTATCACTCCTTTGTTTCTTCTACCACCTAAAAGCTACAAACGGGATCTGATGCTAAGATCTGAGCGAAACAATCCTGGCGCAGAGTCACAGGGGTCACTACCTGCACAGCAGAGCTGTCGGCCGACCCGGGGTGGGAGTCCTCAGTGGGGCCGGCAGAGCCCAGAGCCGTCAGCAAGACACCTCCTCCCAGGAACTCGTCTCCACGAACCGAATGGATGAGATCATTCAAATATTTATAATAAAGGTTGCTGGACAAAAAGCCAGGCAAAAATACCTGAAGAGAGGATACAATTTATTTTAAAGTTGAAATCAAATACACTAAAACTTTATTTTACAACAAAATTTTACTTTCAATGCTACCAGTTAGCACACATGATTTTACTCCTCTTACACTCCAAGTATTATCCCTTTGTACACAGTTTACATTGTAACTAAAACTACAATGTGTACAATTTATAGATTTTTTCCCTCAGAAAACTTGCCATGAAACTACTGAATGGACTTGATTATCTAGACTTCTTAGATACAAGGGAGGGATCTAATTTGAAGCTACATTTTTCTTGTTTGTTATAAATATTGAAGTCTTTGTGTATATACTGATTTTCACTTTTGATCTGATTTCCTTAAGATAAATTACCAGGAGTGTGATTACTAAGTTAAATGATATGAACATTTTAGCTTTGATAAATGTGGAGGATGCATCACTAGCATCATCAAGGCATCTGTTTTGACATGGGCTTCCCAACACTGGGTTCTGTCTTTTCAAATAGTTGTTAAATAAATGTCTAATGGTACATGGATACTTTTATTTCCATTTAAAAACTATTAATGATGTTAAGTTCCCATCTTTATTATTGGCATTTCCTATTACCAACTTTTCCTTCACAGCATTTAGCACAACTGTAAATATTTACGTCTGTGTTTAATATGTGCTCTCCTTATAGACAGAGCTCCAGGAGGGCAGAAGCCATGTTTCTTTTTTAGTTTACCCCATAACAACAATACCTAGCAGAGAAATACTCAAAGTATTAGGGAACGAAGCATACGTATCTTTTTACCATGTACCTACTTGATAGTACTCTTAAAAATTAAAATTAGTATAAGTTCCCTAGATACACAGTTAGTAAGAAATATTTTTACATTTTGCTTTTCTCTGTATTTTAACTTTATTACCCAGAAAGTTTACATTCTTTATATGATACATATCTTGAACTTCTCCTTTAAGATCAGAAAATTTTAATTTTAATCATGAAAAAATTATCGACCTTGGACAACAGCCGATAGTCTATCCAGTTTACTACCAGCCTTTCAACGATTTTATTTTATTTTTTTGCGGTACGTGGGCCTCTCACTGTTGTGGCCTCTCCCGTTGCGGGGCATGGGCTCCGGATGCGCAGGCTCAGCGGCCATGGCTCATGCCGCTCTGCGGCATGTGGGATCTTCCCAGACTGGGGCACAAACCCGTGTCCCCTGCATTGGCAGGCAGACTCTCAACCACTGTGCCACCAGGGAAGCCCCGATTTGATTTTTATATGTAACTCCTCCATATTCCTGAAATTCAGTTTTTATGTGTGGTATCATGTGGCAGTGCTTACTTAATCCCTTTCCACCTAGATGCACATGACACATATGAGCAAAATAACCTCATGGGCTTATCCCGGGCTCCTGCAATTCCTAGTAAAATCTGCTTTAGTTCATCAGAAGAATAAATGATTCACAAATTCCAACACTTTATTAAGCAGCTATTAGTGATACTCTGTAAGTGATCATGATACAGAAAACTAGTGCTCCAACCCTGTTGGAGAGTTTTGGTGAAATATTTGGATCATCCCTAAGCTAACTTTGCTCAATACTAATTATCTAAAAGATGTTATAATCACAGTAATAATAGCAGTTAACATTTTTTAATGCTTACTACTTACATTACTAATAAGCACTCTCCACGTCGTACCTCATTTTTATCCTCAAAATAACTCTAAGTATCTGTATTAGCCCCATTTCACAGAGGAGGAACATGGCATTAAAGGACTTCAGTAGCTGCCTGAAGTCACTCAGCCTGTGAAGGTTAAGATTAATACATACCAAGTCAGACTCAAAGCCCCCGCTCTCATCACTGCTGCACTGCTTCAACTTTCCACTGTTCTGTTTGCTTTTTCCCATGTTCTATTTTCTGGGTTCCACCAGTTAAAAACTTCTTGTAGTTTAATGCTTTTCAAGTTTTGGTTACCTTCTCCATGGTTGTCCAGGCCTGACGTAACGGAGTGGTGAAACAGTTAGGGAGTGGCCCACCTTCCCTGCAGATGTTGGATTCAATTTCCAGTCGTACAACATCATCGAATCCAAGAGGATGTGTGGCCTGGAGGGAGAAGTACCTATGGCAGAAAGACAGCCAAAGTAAACCCCAACTTCACAGCAATCATAAGCAATTTCTGGCACCTACACCAGAGAACCTTCTATGAGGCTCCTGCAGACCTAGGACTATAGAGCTGGGTTGATGACAGCCCTGCTGCAACCTGTATTCCCACCGCCGAAGAGATACCTGAGCCAACGTGCCCCCCTCCCTATCTGCCTGCCATCATCTTCGGTTCTTGTTTAAGATTTTCCAGGTCAGGTTACAACTGAGGCAAAGAAACCAATTGTACACGTTTAATGGGCACCTAGTCTCTGTTCAGTGCTTGGGAGAAAGAAACAAATTTAAAACAGGGTAAGACATAGGCATGTCCCCTGGAAAGAGAACAGAAAAGATCCCTGTACAGGGTACAAAGGAGAACATACCAGCATAACTATGTGGCATACAAAACATACATGTAGGAATTCAAAACAAAATAGCATTGAGGGTGAAGTGGATGAATTTGATGTATTTAAGTAGAATAACAGGATTTGCTAATGAAAGGAAAAGGAGTAATCAATGATAACTCAAAGATTTCTAACTTCATAGGATATAATGCAACTGGTGTTTTGGTAAACTGGTTATAAACTGAATACAAAAAAAGCATTAAAAGCAGAAAAACATATATGTTGTCTTTTGAGCATTCTGCGGCTTCTAACTCCTGTCCATGATACAAATACAGACAGGCTGATGAGGCATGATATTAAAAAGTAAAGATAGAAAAACAAATAAGCAGGAGCTGTTAAAATGACAGTGCTGGGAGGATGTCACACAGTAATCTTCATTTAAAAATGGCTCCCAATTTGAAAATGGGATCCAGTGGGAAAACAGGGTCTCAGCTCTGCCTGGCACTGAGCTCCAGCCAGGACCTTACCACTGCCACTCTTCTATTCCAGCAGGAGAAAACTCTTCTTTTATCTTGTTATCAGTACTTTCTTAACAAAAAGTGAGTCTCCCATCATGCAACAACTAAGTTGGCAAATTTTCCTCCACAATTTGAATTTTGGGACTGCCCAGACCTTTTTTTTGGGGCTGTGTTGTGCGGCTTGTGGGATCTTAGTTCCCCAACCAGGGATTGAACCCAGGCCCCGGCAGTGAAAGTGCGCAGTCCTAACCACTGGACCACCAGGGAATTCCCTCAAATTTCTAAAGGTAAATGCTTGCTACATTAACATCCATATAACAATGTTTCTTATATAATATTTTCCCACAAATATATTGCACAAAAATAAACACTGGACAAACATTAGAATTGCATTCAAGTTCTGCCACTAATTTGCCCTGTGACTTGGAGAAAGTCACTACCCCTGCAAGCCTTAGTTTTCTCATCTGCAAAATGCGAAAATCAAACCAGCTCCCTAATCTGGCTATTCATCAGAATCAGATTCCTGGGTCACACCTCAAACCTGCTGAATCAGAATCTCTTAGAGAAGAGGACTGGAAACCTATTTTTGACAAGCTCCCAGGTGACTCTCATGCCGACAGGAGCACGGACCAGCCCGGTGATGTTCGGGAACCACTGACCTAGATGCTCTCAGCTCTCTCCCAACCCTAATATCCCACAGATTTTTCTCTGCCTCTCAAGTTATCTTCTTAGCAAGTGCTCACAGATACAAATAACACATTTCTTTATAGAACAAGAAAAGTTAGATGAAAGGGGGGACAGACACAGTTTTCAATTCTGTTCACTAACATTGTGCTGTCCTCTCATTTTCAGTGAAAACTAATGAATAACTACTCTTCACCAAGTAGTTAATCTGGCTGAGCAGACTTGCACCAGAAAACATGGTATACCCCACACAGACATTTAAGACCCTTTGCAATAGATTCCAGCTAGTTTCATCTTCTTCTGTTCCCTTGAGCAAGTGTCAATTACGCAAAGTTTCTATGGCGCTGCTCGTACCGATGACTCTGCCAAGAGTGTCCTTCCCCGCTAGCAGAATTCAATCCATTCTTCAGTCGCCAATCAAATCTCCCTTCTGTGAAGCCCTCGGTGACCTCCACCAACATCGTCTTGCTTGCCACACACAAGCCTCCCCCTGCCCCGCCGGCAACTTATTCTAAGAACCCCCTACTCTGAACACACGAATGAAAAGCAGCTCTTATGCGGCTCCCTGTGAGCTCCCTGGCGGCAGAGACCAAGGTGACTTCTGAAATATGCTTCAAGTACTCAGTATTCGCAGAAAGCTGGATGTGTCTATCACCAAGACTCACTTGTCATATAAAATCATGGCGTCGTTCTGTGCCTCCTGCCCATCATACTGGCCCTTTTTGGCAGCAAGCTGAGACTGGAAGTTGTCTGCTGCCAACCAGAACTGTAGGATATTCACTGCGTCCTCTTTCTCCATGTACTGGGAAGGAAAAACACAAAAGAGGAAAATCAGGCTATACACAGATTTCTCTCACTATCTCTCGTCTATATCTAAGCCCCAACTATTGAAATACACGACATAAAGGAAAAAAAAAACCCACAAAAGAAACCCCCCCACCCCAAAACAGGTCCACTTGTTCAGTTAATGCCAGTCTGCAACTTACAGTCATCTGAGATTGAATAATTTTTCAATATTCTTTTAGGGGGAGAAAAACCAAAAAAAAACCTAACAACAACAACAAAAAGCAACCACTACACAGCTGAATGCAAACTTTAGTGAACTGGAGTAAAAATTAAAGATGGATTAGTGGTTCCTCGCTGGCAAACATACAAAAGGTAAACCAACCAGACCAAATCTTTTATACCTGATCATTTCCACCACTCCACGCGGCCATACTAACCTGAACAAATGCTGACTTAAACTTAAGGCAAAGAGAGGGAGTGAAAACACAAATCAGCTGAATAACTGTATCCTTGTCAAGAGGCAGGATGCAAGTGTGAGTCTAAGTTACTGCTTTGTGAGACCGGGAATCCTCTTATCTCGACTTACTAGTCATTTGCTTTGCAACAAAAGAATTTCATTTGCTGAAGCCTAACAAATCCCATCACTCTACACTGTATGCCTCAAAGAGATGAATATATACTCATTGCTTGTTGCAAATGCTTCAGTCCGATCAAGGGCAATCCTATCAAGTGGCTAAAGTAAAATGAAGACAGTGGGAAAATATTTACTTTTCCTTCTCTCTTCTGAAGTCTGCTCTGCAAACACTTATGCACTGGAATCAAGTATCAAATTTCGTGGTTTTAAAACAGCTCTAAATAACTAAAAATCTGCATTCTCTTATAAGCAGTTTAATTAGGTTTTTCAAAATTAGAGTTACTTTACTTTGAATTTTCATGTTCTCTTTAGTCTGACTAATGCCATTCAAGTACTCTTGCCATTAGATACAACTTAAAACAGTAATCACAGTACTTAAATCCACCTGATCAGTTTGGAAATGATTTGTGTCTTCTATGTTATTCCCTATAGACAGGGCCCAGCACGTACAGCTCAGAGGCTGGAATGCTCTAACAGAGTGTGAAAGGAAATGCAGACTTTACCTCAGAGAAATAAAAGAGGGCTGACTCACAGAAGAGAATGTCAGCCAGGTAAACAGTTCCACTGGTCAGCACTTCAATCTGGTATTTACAGAAATGGTGACTTCGCAGAAACTCACTAAAGTGCCTGCACGTGGACGAAAAGGTAAAGTTTGAGGGACCGACCAAGGAAAGGGCTCATCTGGGAAGAACACACTCTTTCCCCACTGTGCTACTGCATCTTAACGGCCCAGGTCAACGTGACCTCCCTTCCCATGGCGCCTTCCTGATTCCTCTCCCTGTAAGTAATCTCTCCCACCCCTTAATGACGTGCAGCTCTCCTCTGATAGCTAACTCACGCTACCTCATATTACAGTAAGCAAAGAACATGCCCTATTTCTCTTATTAGGCTGTAATTTCCTTCAAAGCAGGCACTACATCCAAACTGTGCACAGCACGCTTTTCATAAATGTTACATGAAAGAATGAATATGAAGATTTTTTTGAGGGCATGCAGCAATAATTAATCTAAGAAAACTTTGGAGGCAGTTTCAACAAATCTATGTGGATTTAGTAATATGGCATCCATTAAGCTTAAAGCATGCACTAACAAATCAGGATATCCACCTGAAGACATGCATTGTTTAAATAGATAAACCAATTACTATATCACACTACAGTCACAATCACCCCTAAGGACTTTGGAATTAAAAATAAATTCTTTTAACTTAGGAAATACATTAAAAATAAAAATCTGTTTTATTTTTAATAGAACTCACATAATTTATATTTAAAAGAAACCATTACCCAAGATAGTCTTAGGAATGTCTATAAGATGCTGTAAACATTCAAAATATTTAAATCCTCAAAGATAGTTTGGTTTTACTTATTCCTGAGGCTGAACCCGAACTACCCAGAATGCACAACGTGGAAATATGAAATCGACATACTCGTGCTCCATTGCACTGAAGACTATGGACTGTGCTGAGACAAAACAGTTGGGATCCACCTGCCCATCTTCTCCACAAATCTTTGCTGTAAAAGAAATGGTAAATAATTTTTCTCTAAATCCAAACTATACACATTTGTAAATCAAAGTAGGAAGTACCTGTAAAGGCATAAAGATGAGCAGGTTTTAAATGGAATTAAGAGAAAATACAGGTGTACAGCTGATTTTGAGGTAGGGAAGGTCTTTCTAAGCATAAATGCAAAAGCACAAATCAAAAGTCAACAATATAAAATTAACTTCTATACCTTAAAACACCCCCAAAACAAAATAAAAGGGTAAACTGGGGGAAAAAATTTGCAGCATATATGACAGTTTATGAATGACAGATTATTTTCATTCATGTATCAAGAGCTCTAACAAGAAAGTCTAGAAAGAAAAATGGACAAACTAACAAGAAAGTCTAGAAAGAAAAATGGACACGAAGAAAAATTCACTAAAGAACAAATACAAAACGGCCAATATAAAAAGATATGCGTGCTCACTAGTAACCAAGTAAATATAATTATAGATTAGAAGGAGGAGGCACACCACCTTCTGTCTAGTAGCTTGGCACAAAACTGTTTTAACAATCCATAAGCTTAATTGTTTAACGATACATATACTTGGGCAAGGGCATGGGAAAACTGACACGTGTGTTAGTGGGCATATAAACGGGTATATCTTTTTATGGGGGGCAATCTGGCAGTTTCTAGCATAAGCTTTAGAAATGAACATACCCTTGCAATCAGCAATTCTATCTCTAGGGTTGTAACCTAAGGAACTACAGATTTGTGAAAGAATTATCTGTTTATCAAAATGTTATTTGGTAGAAATTTTAAAACATAAAATGGGCTAAAATTAGGAACTGTCTAAATAAACTGCAACAAATCAATAAGCTGTTTACTAGCTAGCTCTTAAACATGGCTGGAAAAACCCCACCATGATGGCTGGTTTCACTTCAAGTTCAGGACCTTAGTGGGACCTTCATGAAACCCAAGGATCGTGCTACAGTTACCTGGTCCATTACAGCACACCTCCTCTCTCTGTAGACGTCTTAGCACCTCTATCTCTACCCTCTTTGCTGATGACTTGGAAAACAAGCAATCAGAAAACAAATTCCATCCACTCCCACCACCTCTACCAACTTGCCCGCATCACTGACTCTGCAATCTCTCCTGCTACTACAGATGAACTGTCCTCGCTCCTATCTGGAAAACTCTAGGAGTACCGGGTCCCATCCTCTCTTACCTCCTCAAGGCACCTCTTCTACAGCAACTGCCCCCTCTCCCTACTGTATCAACTTCCTCCTACTGCCTCATTGTCACCAGCTATGAACTGTTTGTATGTTATACATATATATGTGTTTGTATACTGTCATACACCTTACATGCTGTGACATGTCACCTTAAAAACAAAACCCCAAACCACTGTCCCTTGACTAACACCCCCTGCCAGCTCACCTTTGAGTAAAATGCCTCTAACAGTTGCCATACTTGCTGTCTCCGCTCCTCCTATTTGCTTTTAAGACGCCTCCAGTTAAGTTTTGTCCCTAATGGTCCACTGTAATTAAGATGCCCACCACTGCCAAGTCCATCCCACTCCTGGTATTCACCTTACTTAACCTATCAGCGCGAACTGCCATCTTTGATCACTCCCTTCCTCCCAGCATGAGTTTTTCACTTGGCTTCCAGAAAAAACTGCTCTCTTGATACACAGCTGATGCAGGAAGGCCTCCACTACTGGCTGTTTCTTCCAGATGTTAGACCTGCCACAGCACCCAGTCCTCAGACCTCGCGTCCTCACTCACCACACTCCTCCAAGGGATGTTACTCAGTTTCATGGCTCCAAACCCAACCATAGGCTGATCACTTCCAAACATACATCTCCAACCCGGACCTCTCTCACGAGCTCCTAACGTTAACATCCAACTGCCTACTTGGTGCTCAGCATTTGGATGTCTGAAACCCAAACTCCTAATGTTCCCCTTCAGCCATTACTCCTGCATCTTCTTCACCTTACAAATACTCCCCCAGGTATGCAGGTTTTAAAAAAATGAAGTCGGGGCTTCCCTGGTGGGGCAGTGGTTGAGAATCCGCCTGCCAATGCCGGGGACACAGGTTAGAGCCCTGGTCCGGGAAGATCCCAAATGCCACGGAGCAACTAAGCCCGTGTGCCACAACTACTGAGCCTGCGCTCTAGAGCCCATGCTCTACAACAAGAGAAGCCACCACAGTGAGAAGTCCACGCACCACAACCAAGAGTAGCCCCTGCTAGACGCAACTAGAGAGCTGGCGTGCAGCAACGAAGACCCAACGCAGCAATCAACCAATCAATCAATAAAAATAAAACTATAAAACTTCTAAAAAATATATTGTTAAAAAAAAAAATGAAGTCATGCTTGATTCCTTTTTTCCTCTCACACCACTCACTTCCAAACCATCAGCACCTTCTGTCAACTGTACCTCCACAATATTTTAAAAATTCCACCACTTCAAGGATTTGTGGAAGATGGAACAAGCAGTGGAAGCACAGTTTTGAGGTCAATCTAATTCCCCACATAAAAACAAACAAATTAAATAGCAACACCCAAAACCCAGAGATAACATCTACAACAAAACCAGGCAGGTGGGATACACAATAAAAGCTTAAGTGGAGGCTTCTTCAAACTATAACTTACTTGAAGTACAGCTATATTAAAATATTCCAGCTTGAAGAGGAGACAAATAATTAGGGCAGGATTCAAAAGAATGAGGCCCAAAGAGGAAAAGTGAGTGGTCTAAAGACACAGAGGTAATTAACATTTTAAAACGCATAGTAATACACACTGGAATGGAAACTTCTTGATCATTAAATGTTATCAACTTGATCCTTCAGATTTTTCCCCTCATGGGATTACATCGTTAATTTGATAAAGTTTAAGGAAAGGAAAATTAGAACTGCAGTGACACTTCATTTTAAAATGTCTGACTCAAAACTCTCTCCTTTTCTCACCTACCCCAAACAGTTTAGTTATCAATTGGTACAAACACCCAGTGGAATTACTAGCCAACCAATTCCTCAAATAGCCAAATGCTAATCTGTTCGTACACCTAACAGTTATTATTAGGCACAGTTGGTCTAGTAAAGTCTAAAAGATGGCAGCAACAAATTTTCAGATAGAAATAGAGGAACTACATAGAAAACCCAAAATCCCATGACAACATCTGCAACAAAACTGGGTGAAAACTCCAAAAAACAAGCAGACGGGGACAGCCACCAACAGCCACAAGGCCCATGTGTCACAGGCTCTGCCAGGGAGAAGAAAAAGGAAACAATGGGGGCAGCACCCGGCAGCCTGAGGCAGACAGCAGGTGTGCCCTGGAAGTACAGGGCCAGTTCAAGAGGCTCAGCTGAGACCGGGAGGGGCTCTGCTGTCCCCAATGACGAGGAGAGACCGAAAGAGCCCCAGGCTGGGTCGACTCTGCTAGGAGCAGAATAATAGGCTTTCATTCAGAAATCAAAAACACTTAATTTTTGTATTAAAAACTCAAAACTTAGTGCTAGGACTTGATGAGAGTATAATAAATATCTGTTCAATGAATAAATCAACCACTTGTATCTGTGATTACAGGTGTACCTGAAGTCTTTCTGATACAACATAGTCAAAGCTTTCAAACATTTTTATTACGACCTACAGAAAAATATATTTATGTGACTCAGTATATATATGTACATATGATGGAAACAATGTTCTGAAGTGGTGTGTATTTGCCCTTACTACTGTGAAGCACTTTGATTTTTCCAGTCTGGTCTTTTTTGGCAGGGGGTGAGGACCTATGAGGAGACTGGTCCTAATCCAGAGTTTGAAAAACACTGCCGAATAGCATACTAGTTACCATGTTGGGGTCTGGTTTCAAGTCCTAACTGCCGTGTCCGAGCTGTCACCTTGGGCAAATTACTTACCTTCTCTGTGCTTCCTCACTTATAAAATAACAACTGTATTTATGCTGCACAGTTCTTTAGAAGACTGAATGAGTTTGTCAATGGGAAATGCTTAGAATATTGTCTGGAACACAGCAAGTACTCAGTAAACATGTGCTACTATTATTCAAGTCAAAAATCTCATAATTTGGGTCCAACAAGTAAGAGGGAAACTTTTGAAGTGAGCTACAATCAGATATAATAAAGTACCCTGAAAGCAGACAAGGAAGGTATATGTTGAATTACATGTTCATGAAAAATTCTCTTAATAATAACCAAATTTTTTTTTTTTGATGCCATAGCTTCAAGCACCGCTTACCTACGATGTCATTTCTCATTGCTTCTGTAATTGGTATTGGTTTAGCAGCATCTGGAGATATATATTTGGTAAAAGTATTTACTGCATCTTGTTCTATACCTGCAAGGTAAGAAGGGGACAACTTCAAAAATCAAAAAGCAACTTGGACCAGTAACGGACCATATTCATGAACAGCAAGGTTTGTTTGCCGTGTGCCCAGGCACACACATACAAACATATCTTTTATTACAAATAAATATCTCTGTAAATATACTTAGGACAAAACAGCCTCCATGGTAACGTTGCTTCTGCACTGCTTGGTTCTTGGAGCAGAGGAGATACATGTGACCCCGTGGCCCTCCTCGCCTCAGCTCACAAGCTGATGAGTAACAGCAATCGCTGTACCCATCCTCTTTCCATCTCTCCTCTCCAAAGTCCTAACCTGAAGGACTTACATAGCAGGAGCTCAAAAATCATTTTTAAATCTACATTTTACATATTCTACCAAATTTCATATTCATGAATACATTCATTTGACCTTCAACAACCCTGGAACGTTAAAACAGTGAATCTCAAACTTCCTAGTCTTGGGACTTTGAAATCTTAAAAATTACTGAGGACCCTAAAGAGCTTTTGTTTATGTGAGTTTTATCTATAGATAGTAAGGTATTAAAAATTAAAATGAGAAAAAATTATTGTTTAAATTAACAATATTAAATCTGTTAGAAGTTAACATAAATACTATTTTTTACAGAAAATAACTGTTTCCCAAACTGAAAAAAATTAATGAGAAGAGGGCATCAATTTACATTTTTGCATCTCTATTCGTCTTGATAACAAACTGTTAGATTCTCAAATCTGCTTTGGCATTCAATCTGTTCTGCTTTTTTGTTTTGGTTGAAATATACTGTGCTCTCATGATATGAGAAGGAATGTATGTATGTGTGTGTGTGTGTGTATATATATATATAGTGTGTGTGTATATATATAGTATGTATGTGTATATATATATAGTATGTGTGTATATATATAGTATGTATGTGTGTATATATATATAGTATGTATGTGTGTATATATATAGTATGTGTGTGTAT